CTTTTCTAAAACCAGCTTGAACATGTGGAAGTTCATGGCTCATGTATTGTTGCAGCCTGGCCTGGAGAATTTTGAGCATTACTTTACTAGCGTGTGAGATGAGTGCAATTGTGTGGTAGTTTGAGCTTTCTTTCGCATTGCCTTTCTTAGGGATTGGAATGGAAACTGACCTTTTCCAGTCCTGTGGCCACTGCTGAGTTTTCCAAATTTGCTGACATATTGAATACAGCACTTTCATAGCATCATCTTTTAAGATTTGAAATAGCTCAACTGGAATTCCATCACCTCCACCAGCTTTGTTCGTAGTGATGCTTCCTAAGGCCCACTTGACTTCACATTTCAGGATGTCTTGCTCTAGGTGAGTGATCACACCATCGTGATTATCTGGGTCATTATGATCATTTTTGTACAGTTCTTCTGTGTATTCTTGCACCTCTTTTAAATATCTTCTGCTTCTGTTAGGTCCATACAATTTCTGTCTTTTATTGAGCCCATCCTTGCATGAAATTTTCCCTTGGTATCTCTAATTTTCTTGGAGAGATCTCTAGTCTTTCCCATTCTATTGTTTTCCTCTATTTCTTTGCACTGATCGCTGAGGAAGGCTTTCTTATCTCTCCTGACTATTCTTTGGAACTCTGCATTCAAATGGGCGTATCTTTCCTTTTCTCCTTTGCTTTTTGCTTCTCTTCTTTTCCCAGCTATTTGTAAGGCCTCCTCAGACAGCCATTTTGCTTTTTTGCATTTCTTTTTCTTGAGGATGGTCTTGCTCACTGTTTCCTGTACAATGTCATGAACCTCCAACCATAGTTCATCAGGCACTCTGTCTACCAGATCTAGTCCCTTAAATCTATCTGTCACTTCCACTGTATAATCGTTAAGGATATGATTTAGGTCATACCTGAATGGTCTAGTGGTTTTCCCTACTTTCTTCAGTTTAAGTCTGCATTTGGCAATAAGGAGATCATGATCTGACTGCTCTTAAGTGCTCTCCTCAACATAGTGTAGTCCCAAGTCCCTGAGGCTCACCCCAGACACAAATGGTAGAAAAGAGAGAATCTGAGTTTGTCCTAGACACCAAATATGTGGGGTCTCTGCCAACAGCAACCAGTTCCCCCACACCCACTGGGCATCGAGGAGTCAGTTCACATCTGATGCTAAATCCTCAGAAGTGATCCAGACCCCACAGGATTAGGGCACCGTACCTGAGGCCTGACCACCCTTCAAGAGTTGATCACAAGCCCTGTGGTCACTTACACATGTAAAAAACTGGCTATAAACTCAGAGATCCCTTGACTCACCTTCTATGTTGAAAAAATTTTCCAAACCACTCACTGAATTCAGATAAGCCCTTTACATACTGTCCCAAGTCATTATCAATGATGAGACTCAGGGACAGCAAAATGGAGAAGATAAGGCAAAGAGGGAGGAGGAAAAGCTGAGTCTCCACACCATCTCAGGACATGCCTCCTTACAAACCCTTGATGTTATCACCGTTCTTGAAGCTCTCTGAATCTAGTGTTGATGGGTTTTAATTGAGGTTTGGAAGGAGGAAATTTGATGGAATCTTTGGCCATTGTTAATGGAACTCAGTATCAGTACTCACTCCTCTCCCCAGAGGGACAGGGGACTGATCACTTAACTCTCTAAACATCTGATGCCATGTTCTGGATCCAGGCACACACATAAGTCCTCATCCTCCACTGATCTCATTTCTTATAGAAAGACAATAAAATCCAAGAGTTTTAGGAGCCCTGGGGCATGAACCGGGGCAAGGATCAACTATGGATCTTTTTACTATTCTAAAGTGGGGTTTGGGGACAGGGTAAAGACTAGGAATAGACAGTCTCAGAGATAAAGTTCATTATTCTGTAAAGTGAGGTGACATATTTTTATTAAAAGCAGAACACATAGTGATGCTTTTTTAGAGTCAAGAAATGTCCCTAGAGTTCAACTGCTCACTTCCCAGAAGAAATCCAGAGAGGGCTGGCAGCATCCACCATGCCCCTCTTCCCACCACTTCCGTGCACTCATCTCCTTTCCCTCCAATCTGTAGAGGAGAGGTGAGCTGGGACTTAGTCTGGGCCTTGTTGCTTGTTTCACCTCAGGGATTCTGCCCAGCATGGTGCCCAGGAAAAGGAGCAGGGCTGCACAAAAGCAAAGTCTGCTCATGTTTGTGACATTGCAGAAGGGTGTCTATTGAAAATGGATGCCGACAGATCAGTTTATATCCCAGCAGATGGGTAAGAACAGGTGAGAAGGAGGGCAGTGAGGAAACGGAGGATTTGGGGTCAGTCATGTACAGGGTGTAATCTCCCCAGCTTCCGTTGTCCTGTTTCTGCCTGTGTGTGCATGTCTGCTGAGTCACTCAGTCTGGTCTGGCTCTGAGATTCCCATGGACTATAGCCCACCAAGCTCTTTGTCCTGTTTCTGTCTGGTGGGGCCAAATGCCAAGTACCCTGATTCTCAAACTTGACTCTGTCTATGGTCTTGTGAAAACAGAATGTGATTCTACTGGTGGAATTTTGTCCAATATGGTCACACAAGGAGCATCCCAGCACCTAGAGCAGCGCATGGCATTGGATGGTCAGTGAGTGGGTGACAGCAGATCAAAAGACAAGTAAGTAAACAGTAGTGTGTTCGCTCAGGTCCTCCTTTACAGACTCATGCAGGTGTCATCACACTTGGGTGTCAATGCCCCCCCTCTTACATTAACCCCACCTACTTCAGAAGACAGGTATGACACAGGTAAGCTATCAGCAACCATTGTGGCAGCCTCTCTACTGGACAGACACCAGGTCTTTACCTGCCACTGGCCCAGGCAGATGTTGAGCTGGGGGAAGAGCATCTCCATCTGGGGCACAAACCCTGATATTCTGAGTAGGAAAAAAGTAAGGGGAATGGGCAAAAGGGAGGAAGAGACAAGCAATGTCTCCAGAGCTGACCACACACTGCCCCTCACCTGGTTTCACCAACAGGAGAGTTGCCTTCCTGAGTGGATCTCAGGCACTGGAGTGGATCTCAGGGACCTTGGAAGATCACTGCCACACTACCCCACCACAACTGTGGACTCTGCACCAGTGGTTCTTAGGACAGAGGACCTGGTTCGAGTCCCAGTTCTTTCTTTTGCTAACTCTGTGGTCTGGGGCCTTATTTTATAACTAAAGTAAGCAAAGCTCACAGATGTTGAGAATTTGCCAAAGATTTCAAGGAAGGGAGTAACAGCACCAGCACCCTGTGTGTTCTCGTTCATTTAAATACACTATTTGCTGAGGTCCCCAAGTCAAACTTCACTGATCTGAATTGAAACAGATACTCTGTTCTCCAGGTGTCTCCATCCTAAATCTTTCCAGAAGCAGAGCAGGAAAATATCATCAAAGTCCCTTCACTTGGGAGAGTGGGGACCTGCCATGTTAGAAAATGAATACAGCAGATAAGTGCCATCTCTATGTTGCCATTCTCTTCCTTGAAGGATTTTTAGCATGATTAATAGAATAATGCAGGCAAAACACTTACACAGAACCTGGGATAGTAAATGGCAATTGCCCTTCTTTAATGAAAGTAAGAAGCCCCCTCCCCACCTGTGACTTCAGGGAATCGGATTCCTTAGAAAAGTGGCAACTGAGCCTCATACCCATTCTCCTTCTGAGAGTACAGGAGGAAAACCTGCCCCCAAATTTGACTTAACTTAGAAGAAAAGAATGAAAGCTCGTGTGCAGATGTCTGTCTAACAGGGTTCTGTGTAGCTTAGGGTGGCTATCAAGTGGTAATTATGCTGTAACGGGTTGCTTCCTATACCCATAAGAGCAGTCTCTGGACAGTGAAACAGGAACTGTCCACTGTCTGCAGCAGAGTGAGAAGTACCAAAACTCTCATGGGCCCTATTGGTTAAGGTTTGTAGTTTCAAGCAACAGACTCCAATCTAGTCAGGTTAACTTATAATATGCATTTATTGAAACAAATTATTGAATTATTTATTTAAAATTCATTGTTATTGAAATATAAGCCACAGTGTTTGAAGCTCCAGAAAGGAAAATTCTAACATTATTGTGGGGTCACGGAGCTTCTTTATCGTAAACTTTTCTCATTACTGATTCTGAGAACTGGATGCAAGAAATTCTACATTCAACACCCACAAAGAGCAATGATGGTGGGGAGGGGGAAGAAGCTGAGAATGCAGTGAGCATATGAGTTAAGACAAAATCCTGCATCAAACTGCAGGCTCTATAGTTACTCTGGTCATGAGGAATGTGCTACTACATTCCCTTATTTCTTCCTCAAATAATTAGGAACTGTCTACTTGGTGCCAGGAACTGAGCTAAATGCTAGGAATAAAGGGAAGACATTCTCATGGTGCTGAGAGCCAGCTAGATGAGACAGAATTAGACATGTTGACCAATAGAGGACAGGAAATAGATAGGTTCTGCTGAGGAGGATAGGGGAGAGAAGGACTGGGAGAGACTGAACAGTTTCAGAAGTAGCCATGGCCCAGCCCTGCAGGGGTCCTTCTCAGACGTCACACTTTCTGGGAACCGCTCTTCACACGTCCTCTGCAAAAAGAAAGGAACTTGTTGAGTGCCATCATTGTATCCCCAGATGTGGACACCCATCATCTTAGCAGAGTCTAGATTTTACAAAAAGTATAAAAGCGTATTCCTCATGACCTGAATGCCCAACCAGAAGGAAGTGAGTTTTCCATGCCAAGGCCAGGTACTCAGGAGCCCTGCAGACCTGCCCTGGAGGGTGGTTGATTCAGTATTCCTGTCTAAGATGGAGGAGCATGTGATTAGGCTCAGATTGTCATAAAAGGCATCTTGGTTTGACCTTCTGCCAAGCTGACCCCTGGAGAACTTGCTCAGTGTGTGGTTTCACAAGACACTGCCGCCTCTTCTCCCGGGAAGCATTAAGGAGGAAGACACTGTGCAGGTGTGACTGGTGAGTGGTCCCCTGAGCTCCACCTCCTTCCCCAGTCCATCCCCTCCCCCTGTGCCCTGCCCTCTGTCTTACCACAGGGATACTGTCACTGGACAGCAGGTCACTATGCAGTCCAATAATGTCTGGAAGTTGTTCTTGTTCCCTTCGCAGCCGCCATATACAAATGGCTCGCAGTACCCGGTCTTGGCATTATAGAAGTACCTGGTCATCTGGTCCTTGCAGGGACCCTTTAATTCAGGCTCCAGGCAGAATTCAGGCTTAGAAGCTGCTGGGAAAGTAGGGGCAATGGCTCAGTTATGAGGACGGTCATCACAGCTCGTACAAGGACAACAGCTAGAACTGCCAGTTTGTTTGCAATAGAGACTGCTAGGTTTTGGAGGATGGTCAGATGGAAAAGGTCATTTGAAAACCTTCTTTCTGGGACAGAATTAGTAATATTGCTAGGGGTGACAAGATATATTAATTATGTTCAATTATATATCTCCTCATGAAGTATTTTAACAAAAATTGGTATAAGGCCTTTGCTTAACCTCAGAAACTTCTAAGGGACTTCCCTGGTGGGCCACTGGTTAAGAATCCACCTTCAAGTGCAGGAGTCCAGGGTCAAGCCCTTTGTAAGAGAACTAAAGTCCCACATCCTGAGGGACATCTAAGTCGGCAGGCCACAGCTGCTGAGTTTGTGCCCTGCAGCTAAAACCAAAAGCACCAAATAAATGCTCAAAAAAAGAAATACACAACTCTATAACAACAAAACAATTAGAACTGGACATGGAACAACAACCTGGTTCCAAGTAGGAAAAGGAGTATGTCAAGGCTGTATATTGTCATCCTGCTTATTTAACATAATACAGAGTACATCATGAGAAATGCTGTGCTGGATGAAGCACAAGCTGGAATCAAGATTGCTTGGAGAATATCAATAACCTCAGAAATGTAGATGACACCACCCTTATGGTAGAAAGTGAAGAAGAAATAAAGAGCCCCTTGATGAAAGTGAAAGAGGAGAGTGAAAAAGTGGGCTTAAAGCTCAACATTCAGAAAACTAAGATCATGACATCCAGTCCCATCACTTCATGGCAAAAAGATGGGGAAACAGTGGAAGACTTCATTTTGGGGGAGTCCCAAATCACTGCAGATGGTAATTGCAGCCATGAAACAAAAAGATGCTTGCTCCTTGGAAGGGAAGTTATGACCAACATAGACAGCATATTAAAAAGCAGAGACTTTACTTTGCCAACAAAGGTCCATCTCATCAAGGCTATGGTTTTTCCAGTAGTCATGTATGGATGTGAGAGTTGGACTATAGAGAAAGCTGAAAAAAAAAAAAAAAGAAAGCTGAGCACCAAAGAATTGATGCTTTTGAACTGTGGTGTTGGAGAAGACTCTTGAGAGTCCCTTGGATAGTAAGGGGATCCAACCAGTCCATCCTAAAGGAAATCAGTCCTGAATATTCATCAGAAGGACTGATTTTGAAGTTGAAACTCCAATACTTTAGCCACCTGATGTGAAAAGCTAATTCATTTGAAAAGAAAACAAAATAAGCAAACAAAAAAAAAAAATGAAAAGACCCTGATGCTGGAAAAGATTGAAGGCAGAAGGAGAAGGGAACAACAGAGGATGAGGTGGTTGGATGGCATCACCAACCAACACAACATAAGTTTGTGTGGACTCTGGGAGCTGGGGATGGACAAGGAGGCCTGGCGTGCTGCAGCCCATGGAGTGCAGAGTTGGACACAACTGAGCGACTGAACTGATAGCAACAAAAAGAGGTCACAGGTAAAAATCATTCCTTATATGTCAATAATTACTGTGTCTTGGTACCTGGGTTTTATAATACTGTTCTCTGCACCTTTGTATATGGTAAAAACATTCCACCATGAATAAATAATGTGAAGGAATCATGCCATAATGGAAAAGGGCATGTAGAAAACATACCAGTCTGTTTACTTCTGATCCATCAGGAGGACTGAATAAATTGAAGTTAAACTATCAATATGTTGATACTGTGATTATAAGAAGAAATATATGTGGGTTTTTTTTTTTTCATCCTTTTCCTGACACAGAGTTGCTAAAACTCTTGGTGTTTCTCTTGTGATGAGAACACAAGTGATGAGAATTAAAGTGTCTTCTGGTATGTGAAGACAGTGATTTTGGAAAGACCCTCACAAACCAGAATGGGCTCTTATTGCACAGGAAAAGACTGTCTACAGGGTGGTGGGCACTTTCATTCCCACCCTCCACTGTGGTCCTCTATCTACCATCCCTTTGCCTTCCCTCAACCTCTGGGAAGATAGTGGAGCTGTCTGTTGAACAGTCTCCCATGGCAAATGATTTAATGAATCATGACTAGGTAATTAAGCGTCCCCAGAAACTTCAACAGAGCAAGACATTTATGTTATTGGAAAGACCTGGAATCCATCCAGGGAACAACATAGGTCCCACTCCATGTAGACCACTGCAGCAGCCTGCTCGCTGGGCACTGGGCCTCTGTCTCTGCTCTTTGCCCCCTAGAGGACACTCTGTGCACTGCAGCCTCAGAGATCCTGTTACTGAGCCCTATCCCATTGCTCCCGAGACCACCTCCTCAGTGACTCCCCTTTTCTCTGAGAATCAAACTCTGATTCTCATAAAGGCCCACAAGGCTCCTCATGACCTGCCCCCATGGCATCTCTGCCTCATCCCCTTCCACTCCCCTCTCCTCCACTCACTCAGCTCCAGCCACCCTAGACCCAGCTGCTGCTCAAACAGACTGGGCATGTTATTTCTGCAGCCTCTGCTCAATGCCTCCTTATCACAGGTTTCCCTGAAACTGTGGAGAAAAAGCACAGCATCCTTTTTAAGCACTATTCCCTACATTCTAAAAACTTATACCTACCATAGGATATCTCCTCTTTGCTATTATTTGTCTCTCTACTACAAGACAAGCTATATTGCCATATTTTTTCACAGCTGTTTCTCCACCCCAAGAACAATGCATTGTAGGGACATAATAACTCCCATTTTCATTCTCTCCACAGGTGCACAGTCATCAAATAGAATGGATATAATTGATTTCCTTTTAGTAAAAAAAAATCACCTTAATGATGGGACACATCTACATAATGGTTAATATCCCACTAACATTCAGTCTCCTTACAGGATAGTAAAATGGTCTGTATAGGTTATCATTAATCTGAAAACCTGTCTGAAACCAAATATCTGTGGACTTTTATGGAGGTTTTCAATAAATAGCCATATTGACTGAGTTAGTGGCCATTGCTGATTGATCTCAATCTCAGAGTCTTCCCTCCTCCCTAGAGGTGCTGGCAAGAAAGCGGTGAAATTTCCAACCTCTAAATGGGTGTTTGAGTTTTTTGGATGATGAGCCCAGACCTGAAGATTTCCTAGGTTGCTTTCCCTGAGTGGTCTCGTGACTTCACAAAGAAAGGAAATTCCGAGAGGTTCAGGAGGCCTGGGCAATGAAGCAGGACAAGGATCAAGTATGGATCAAATGTATGAATAATAAAATAATAGTCAAAAGAGGACAAGTAAAGGGCCTGGAGGCTTTACTCATATTGTCTCAGCCTAGATCCCACGAGACAGGGACTTTGTTTGTGTTGTTCCTGCAGTTGCTCTGCTCAGTGATCCTATGTCTTTCTACTTATTTTAATAATAGAGGAATAATCACTACTTGACATATCAATATTTTTTCTTGACCAAAGGAGATGAAGATCATGTTCTTCATGTTATCACACTGGTGGGAAATGGACAAAATTGGTCATGAAATGTGAATAGATTATTTATATTCATGACTGATAATCAAAGAATGCTTGTATATTTTTCCCCTAGTCAGATGAAGAAATCACAGATGACTCGCCCGAGGACACAGAGCATAGGGGTGGTAGAGTCAGGACAAGATACTATCACATCATAACCCATCTGATACAATACCTGATTCTACCAGGAATTCTGAAAATACCATTTATTTGTAAGGGTTTCTGGATGCAGTGTCCTACTTTCATTACTTCCCTGTCTGCAAACCTCACCTAAGCTCCCAAATCACAGCAGAGAGTGAGTTTGGGTTTCCCTTGACATCAAATATGTGGTGTCTCTACCAACATCAACCAATTCCCCAAACCACTCCCTGGGTGTCCCCCAGTCACTTGCCATCTGTGCAGTTAGTACAGATCCCGCCCATTGAGGGATCACAACTGTCCTCAGTTTAGTACCAACCATGTGGTCCAAAGCTACTTATGCTTGTGATCAAACGGCTAAAATTAGGATTTTCCATGACCACATCTCCATGTTCAATAGCTGAATGGAACTGACAACCAAACTTAGGAAAACCCTTACTGACTGTTCTCAGATTAATAGACTTGAAAATTCACAAAGAGTGAAGTGGAGGAGGTGCGTACGATGAAGGGGACTGTAGGTTGGCAGAGTCTCCATGCCCTAGTGAGCATAGCACTCTCACATCGTGTATTTGTATTCACCACCCAAAAACTCTCTAAATCCCAATATTTATGCAGGTTTGAGGTTTCAAAGCAAAGAAGAACTAAAGAGCCTCTTGATGAAAGTGAAAGAGGAGAGTGAAAAAGTCAGCTCTGGGATATGTTGATGGACAGGGAGTCCTGGCGTGCTGCAGTCCATGGGGTCACAAAGAGTCAGACACGACTGAGTGACTGAACTGAGCTGACTGAACTGAGGTTTCAAGAAACAGGCTTATTGATTGAATCATCAGCCATTGGTGATTGATCTCAATCTCAGTGACCTTCCCTCTCACCAGAGGTGCAGAAAATACAAAACCTTTCTTACCATGTTTGAGTATTTGTGTTGGGAACTCCTCAACTGTATGGTTCTCGAGTTGCATTCCAGAAATCATCACCTGACCTACAAAGGAGAGTAAATTGCAAGAGTTTCAGGAGGCCTGGTCCATGAAACAGGGAAAGGATCAAAAATGGACAAGAAAATGACAGTCAAAAAGGACAAGGGGAGGAGCCTGGAGACTTCAGTAACATTGTCTCGGGCTTGGTCCCACAGCCTACCACACAGGGGCTGTGTTTCCTGCTTTCCCTGCAGTTCTTCTCCACAGTGGCTCTGCATCTTTCAATTAGTTTTCATAATAGAAAAATAATCATAATTTGATAAAGAAATAGTTTTAATTGTCCAAAACAAGTAGGTATAGAGCTTTTTTTCAGATTAACACATCTTGGTGGAAAATGGACAAATCCGGTTATGAAATGGGAATAAACTGTTTATATTCATGACTCATCATCATTCAAAGAACTCATGTAAGAAATTTCCCCTGTTCAGATGAGGAAGCTACAAATGACTTGCCCCACAACACAAGCATTTGGGTAGTGGGATCAGGACAAGATACTGTCATATCACAACCTATTGATACTCTATTAATTCTGCTAGGAGCTTGAAAATACAGATAAATGATGAGCGTTTCTGGGTGCAGTGTCCTACTTTCACTACTCACCTCCCCAAGCCCCATGTAAGCCCTCAAATCATAAGGCAAGGTGAGTCTGGGGTTTCTCCTGACTGCAAAAATATGGTTTCTGCACCAATCACATCCAATTCCCAATACCCAGTGGGCGCCCCACTGTCTATTGACTTCTGATACCATATCTGCGGAGTCAGTGCCAATGCCACAGGTTGAGATATCAAGACTCTCCTGACTTCTCAAGACTATCTCCAGCCAGGTGGTTCACATACATCTGACCACGTAATTAAAAGTGGGTGTTTCCATGACCCCACCTCCATACTCAATAACTCAATCAAACCAGCGACTGAACTCAGGAAAACCTGTACTTACTGTCCTCAGACTAATATACAGGAGAAAACTCAGAAACAGTGAAATGGAAGAGACATGGAGGGCAAAGAAACAGTGGAGGTGTGGGGAGTGTTCATGCCCTAGCGAGCAAAACACCCTCACATCATCACCACTGGTTCCCACCCATGAGCTCTCTGAATGCCAAAATTTATGGAGTTTCTTTTTTTTTTTTTTTTTTATTGAGGTTTCCATCAACAGGGATATTGATTGTATCATTGGGCAGCAATGACTGATCTCAACTTCAGTGCCCTCCCTTCTCACTACAGGTGAAGAAGGTTCAAACCTTTAAATCCATTACTGATTTTGTCAGCCAATCCTTTTAGTATACCAGATCCCAGTCCATGAATAATCTTGGTACCTAAGAAAGACAAAAATTCCACAGTTTTCAGCAGTCTTAGACCATGAACCAGGACAAGGATGAAATATGGATAATAAAATGATTGTCACATGTGGATGAGGGAAAAGGCCTGGACACTGCTCATTTTCCCAGGTCATTCTGATAAATTTTTATAAGAGAGGAATGATCAATGTTTGACATAAATGTTCTTTCTGACCCAAGCAAGTAGGTAGAGAAATAATTTCAAATGAACATATCCACAGGAAAGTCACCAAGATTTGCCATGAATGTGAATAAACTCTATTTATGACCAGTAATATGTTCAAAGAACCCATGTAGCAGGTATCTGCTGTTCAGATGAGGAAGCTGTAGATGACTTGCCCCAGGACACACAGCATGTGGGTGGTAGGGTCAGGACAAGATATGGTCAGGCCACAACCCATTTGATATACTATCCTATTCTGCCAGGAACTCTGAAAATACCAATAACTGTTGAGAGCTTCTGGGTTCACTGTCCCACTTTCATTACTCCCCTGTCCTCAGACCTAACCAGAGCTCCCAAAGCACAGGGAGAGTGACTGTGGGTTTCCCTGACACCAAATACATGGTGTCTACAGCATCAACATCCAATTCCCCAAACACCCACTGGATGTCTGCAAGTCAATTTTATTCTGATACAAAATCTAGAGAGTTAGTACAGATTCTGCATGTTGAGGGCTCAAAACTGTCCTCAATCCTGGTGACAGTGAAGTGGTTGTGATTTGACAAAGCAGCGAAAGCATGAAAATAGGATTACCCTACTCCATGTTCAATAACTCACTAAAGCTGATGACCAATTTCAGGAAGACCACTCACATAGGGATCTCACATTATTATTAAGGATAAATATAAGCACAGTAAAATGAGTGAGACACGCAGGGCAAAGTGGAAGTGGAGTTGTGAGGAGCCTCTATGTCCTAGAGAACACTGGACCCTCACATCACTGTCGTGTGATACCACACCAAAAACTCCCCGAATGCCCATATTTATGGATTTTCACTGAGGTTTCACTAAACAAGCATATTGATTGAATCCTTGGCCAGTGGTGATTGTTCTCAATCCCAGTGCCCTCCCCACTCCCCAAAGGTGGAAAAAGTTCAAACCTTTAACCACACCACCGATGACATTTCTAATCACGTCTATTATTGAACGCTTCTCAGGTGCCCTTCTATGGCTTGTCTCCAGACCTATGAAAGACAGTAGATTCCAGGAGTTTCAGGAGGCTGGGCTCATGCAACAGGACAAGGATAAAATATGCATAATAAAGTAATAGTCAACAGTGGACAAGGAAGGGGACAAATATGGGTAATAAAATAGTAGTCAAAAGAAGACAAGGAAAGGGCCTGGAGACTTTACTAATATTGTATCAGCCTTGGTCCCAGGGGCAAACCCACATTGGGCTCTGTGTGTTTCTTATTTTCTCTGCAGTGGCTCTGCACACTCATCCCAGGTTTTTCTGGTTATATTTCATAATAGAGGAATAACTGTTATTTGACACCTAAATATTGCTTCTTGCCCAAAGCAAGTAGGGAGATAAATCATTTTCAGATTAACACATCTTGGTGTAAAATGCACAAAATTCACCATGAATTGTGATTCAACTCTTTAGATTCATGACTGGTTTCTGTTCAAAAACCCATGTAAGATGTATCCCCCTGTTCCAATGAGAAAATTGCTGATGACTTGCCCGAGGATATGACATGTAGGTATCTGGGCCAGGACAAGACACTATCACATTACAACCCATTTGATACACTACCTCATTCTGCCAGGAACTCTGAAAATACAGATAACTGAGAAAAGTTTCTGGGTGCAAGGTCCTACTTTCATGAATCCCCCCTTTTGGAGCATCACCTGAGCCCCTGAATCACAGGGAGAGTGAGTCTGGGTTTTACAAAGATGTGGTCCTTTAAGAGCAACCGAGTTCCCAAACACCCACTGGGTGTCTAGCAAGTCAATTAACTTCTGATTAGAAATCTGTGGAGTTAGTGCAGATTCTGCAGGTTGAGTACTCAAGACAGTCCTCAATTCAGCTGCCAGCCCTGAGGTCCCGAGTCACTCAAAGTTATGATCTAATGGTGAAAATAGGTATGTTCATGACCCACCTTCAAAATCAACAGCTCAATACAATTGGTGGCTGAACTTAGGAAAAACACTTACTTACACTTCCCAGATAACTATACAAAATGTAACTCAAGGCAGTAAAATGGAAGATATGTGTATGCAAAGGGGGAGGGAGGTGTGCCCAGCCTATGTGCCCTAGTGAGCACAGCACCCTCACATCAGCTTCCTGTTTTCAAAAACACACAAGCTCTCTGAGCCCAGTTTAATGTATTTCTTCCTACGGTTCACTAAACAGCCATAGTGGTTGGATCATCAGCCATGGGTGATTGATCTCACTCTCAGGTCCCTCCCCTCTCCACAGAGGTGCTGGAATGAGACATGGGGAAAACTGGAACCGTGAAATGGATGCTTGAAGTTTCTTGGAGACCAGCCCCATCCTGAAGGTACCTTGAGTCTCCTCTTGTGACTCATAACCTATAAAGTCAGTAAATCCCAAGTTTTAGGAGGCCTGGGCTATTAACCAAAACAAAGATCAAATATGCAGCTTTTTATTACTGCACAACAGCAAGGTTCATGGGTAAGGCAGGGACCAGGAATAGAGTCTCAGAAATGGACCCTGATCTAGTAGAGTTAGGTGGGATAGATATATATTTAATATAAAATTTTAATACATATCCTTATGAGCGTCATGATGTCAGTAGAGTTAAAAGTTTCCAACATAAGACTTCCCTGGTGGTCCAGTATATAAGAATCCACATACTAATGTGGGGGACATGGGCTTGATCCTGGTTGGGAAGATTCCACGTGCCTTGGGGTAACTAAGCAGGTGATCTGCAATTACTGAGCCCAGAGGCCTAGAGTCCCTCCTCAGCAAGAAGAGAAGCCATCCCAATGAGAAGCCCACACACCACAACTAGAGAGTAGCCCTGGTAACTAGGGAATATCCTCGCATAGTCAAGAAGACCAATGCTGCCGAAACTGAACAAACAAACATCCTGCCCAATGTGACAGGAGAAATCCAGAGAAGGCTGGTAGCAGTGTGGTCACAACTGGCCCCAGCCCTTCCATTGACTTCCATCATTTCCCTCCACTCTGTACAGGAGAGGTGAGTCCAGACCTACCTTGGTCCCGGGTATGGTGTTCATACACCGGGGTGCTGTCCACCAGGATAAGCAGGAGGAAGAGAAGGGCTGCAGAAAGGCAGAGCCGGTTCATCTTTGTGGCCTTGCAGGAGGGCTCCTAAGGATGCTGGGGACAGACAGACTGAGCTTTTAATATCCTGGCTGAGGGGTGGGATCAGAGGATGAGGAAGGGAGTGAGGCATGGGAGGAGCTGGGTCAGTCCTGTTTATTGCGAAATCTCCCTGCTAACCATGCCTTCTTTCTGCAGGGGCCAAGTCTGAGAAGTAGTCTGAGAACAGCAATTATCAGGCTTGATTATGCCTGTGGGTCTAATGTAAGCATAGATTGTGATCAGACAGATGGAGTTTGTCCAATATGGACATTCAGAGACATCTGAGCACCTGGAGCAGTGCATGGCACATGATATACAGCCAATGAGGGGATGAGAATGGATCAAAGGACATATAGGTGAATAGCAGTGTGTTAGCCCAGGTCCTCCTTTTCAGCCTTGTGCTACTTTCATCACATCTGGGCCTCAATGCCCTGACCCCCCTCAACTACCTCAGATGACAGGGGTGACACAGGACAGCTTCCTGCAACCATTGCCACAGCTTCTCCACTGGATGGACACTTGCCCTTTTTCAGGCATTGGTCCAGGGAGGAACTGAGCTAGAGAAGGTTAGGCCATCCTGGAGTATAACCCTCTTTATGCATTGAAAAATGAGTAAGGGGAGGGGGCCGAAGGGAAGCAGGGAACTGAATACATCTCCGCCACTTGACCAATTGCTGTCCCTCTCCTGGTGTTGCAAACAGAAGTGCTGCCTGCATGAGTGCACTTCAGGGGACCTTAGAAGACTCCCTATGGCCACCTTCTTCCTCCTGCTCTCCCTCATTGGTGATGGGGCCATAGGACCTCAATTAGGGTACCAGCTCTGTGTATTCCTAACTTTGTGCCTGAGGATTTAAATCTCCCAGAACCTCATGTGTTCAGGTATCATGTGAGATCTGTGCTTCCCACATCATGCCACTGTCGTGGTAACAGTGGAGGCAACTGGTATGCATTCCTTCTCTAGAGAAGTCAAGGTCCTTTGTAGTAAGTCGGTTTAGTTCAGTTCAGTCGCTCAGTCGTGTCCGACTCTATGTGACCCCATGAATCGCAGCATGCCAGGCCTCCCTGTCCATCACCAACTCCTGGAGTTTACCCCAAATCATGTCCATCGAGTTGGTGATGCCATCCAGCCATCTCATCCTCTGTCGTCCCCTTCTCCTTCTGACCCCAATCCCTCCCAGCATCAGGGTCTTTTCCAATGTGTCCACTCGTCGCACGAGGTGGCCAAAGTATTGGAGTTTCAGTTTCAACATCAGTCCTTCCAATGAACACCCAGGACTGATCTCCTTTAGGATGGAGTAGTTGGATCTCCTCACAGTCCAAGAGACTCTCAAGAGTCTTCTCCAACACCACAGTTCAAAAGTATCAATTCTTCGACACTCAGCTTTTTTCACCATCCAACTCTCACATTCATACATGACCACTGGAAAAACCATAGCCTTGACTGGATGGACCTTTGTTGGCAAAGTAATGTCTCTGCTTTTTAATATGTTATCTAGGTTGGTCATAACTTTCCTTCCAAGGAGTAAGCGTCTTTTAATTTCATGGCTACAGTCACCATCTGCAGTGATTTGGAGCCTCAAAAAATAAATTCTTCCACTGTTTCCACTGTTTCCCCATCTATTTCCCATGAAGTTATGGGACCAGATGCCATGATCTTAGTTTTCTAATGTTGCACTTTAAGCCAACTTTTTCACTCTCCTCTTTCACTTTCATCAAGAGGACTTTTAGTTCCTCTTCACTTTCTGCAATAAGTGTGGTATCATCTGCATATCTGAGGTTATTGATATTTCTCCCAACAATCTTGATTCCAGCTTTTGCTTCTTCCAGCCCAGTGTTTCTCATGATGTACTCTGCATATAAGTTAAATAACAGGATGACAATATACAGCCTTGACATACTCCTTTCCCGATTTGGAACCAGTCTGTTGTTCCATGTCCAGTTCTAACTGCTGCTTCCTGACCTGCATACAGGTTTCTCAAGAGACAGGTCAGGTGGTCTGGTATTCCCATCTCTTTCAGAATTTATACAGTTTATTGTGATCCACACAGTCAAAGGCTTTGACGTATTTGATAAAGCAGAAATAGATGTTTTTCTGGAACTCTCTTGCTTTTTCGATGATCCAGTGGATGTTGGCGATTTGATCTCTGGTTCCTCTGCCTTTTCTGAAACCTGCTTGAACATCTGGAAGTTCTCAATTCACGTATTGCTGATGCCTGGATTGGAGAATTTTGAGCATTACTTTACTAGCGTGTGAGATAAGTGCAATTGTGCAGTAGTTTGAGCATTCTTTGGCATTGCCTTTCTTTGGTATTGGAATGAAAACTGACCTTTTCCAGTTCTGTGGCCACTGCTGAGTTTTCCAAATTTGCTGGCATATTGAGTATAGTAGTTTCACAGCATCATCTTTCAGGATTTGAAATAGCTCAACTGGAATTCCATCACCTCCACTAGCTTTGTTCATAGTGATAATAGCAATAATGAGTCATTACATCAGGGAAAACTTAAATTCCTGATTGTGGCAGGCATTATCCTAAACACCTAACACATAAAACTCAACAAATCCTCACAAATCTTAAAAGAAAGGGGAGTAACTGTTGATATTTCTTCATGTGACTAAGGAGGTACCTGAGATAACAGGAAATAAATTTGCTTAGGTCATAACTTGTAGAGAGAGGATTGGGACCCAGGGATCTGACTTCAGAGTCTGTGCATATGCACTCTGCTGCATTGCAACCTGTAAACTCGAGTGCACACATCAGGGGTGACACATCCTTGTATGTTTACTTGCAGTTAAAACCATGTAGCACACTTGAGAAGGGCAGTATGTCTTAATACCAAGTTACCCCAGAACAGAAGGACATCAGTAGCCAGTTACACACAAAATACCCAC